CCACGAGTATTAAGACAACATCTGCGTCACATAAAGATGGAGGATTTGCTTGGATTATCAACAAGACTATCACTCAACATCAACGTGGAAAATGTCAAAGTCTTAATAATATAGGGAATAGGAGATTTACATCTCAACTATAGAAATGAATCATGTCTAAACTTTATGAAAAGTTTTAAAGTGAAAAGTGCATAAAGGCACAAAAAGAGTTGATGAGTTTTTGTATTTTTTATGTCTTTTGAAATTGGTCAAAGCATGATTAACATTGATTGACTTTTATTAAGAAAGAAAACAAAGTTTAAAAATCACTTGACAAAAGTCAAGGTTTTATTGCGAAAGCGGTTTTGAAGTTTGAAACCAAGAAGGTTTTGAAAAAAAGAGAGAAAGTTTTGAAAATTTAAGAAGGGGAGGAGATGAAGTGACTATCCTAAAAAACAAAATAAGAGTTAGAGGTAAGAAAGATCTAACCGACTTGTAGCACACTCCAAAGCAAGCAAAAAGAATTCCATCCGATTTAAAGCATAAGCCAATGATCGAGCCAAATAAAGGCTAAGATTCACAATACTCCAAGCATAGGGAAGAAAGTCCTAATCCTAAGTCCAAAATGTCCATGAAGTCCAAGGTCTAAGAATGGTCCAAGAGTATAACCACAAAGTTAATAGCACCAAATTTTTTTAGATGTTTTATCCTTTATTAGTGTTTTGAACAAAGTATGGTCCAAGTGGACAAAAAAGAAATGACATAAACATAAACAAAGATATGGTATGAAATGATAAAATGGAAGCATAAAAAATAAGAAATAAGGAGTAAGAAGAGAATATAAACAAAATTAAACAAGGATATTGTTAGTGAATTAGTAGTTAGTGGTTAGAACATATGATCAATGATGATTAATTCTTGCACTTAGACCAAGATTAATGAAAATTCATTAGAGGATTGATAGAATCAAAGCCTCCTAACAATGATTTTCATAGGTATTGGAGTTAAGACAAGTAACTAATCATACTTGGACTTTTAAACGTAAGTTTGAGCCACGAATGATCATTTTCCGATTAAGGGACACTTTAGCGCTATGTTAAGCAATCGTAATCGGGTTTATGTAGAAACCACGACTATCTGAGGCCGGTCAATAAAATGTTAGTGTTAATACATGTTAGAGAAATGATATGTAAATCACTCTCCTAAAACATGCCACACAAAAAGAAAAGAGGTAGTGATCTCATCATAATCAAGATTTTTAATCAATTAATCAAAGGTAATCTATCACTATTCCAAAGTACGGAGAATTATCTCAATGATTATTCATCCATAGATTTGAAATAATGAAGATTAAACAACCTTGATAATCAACAATCTATGATCCATAGATTTCATCGATCAAAAATAAAAAGAAGAAGAAAGAAAATGAAATCACAATTTGAATCTCGAATCGATTAAATTATCGTCAATATCAATCACCTCTCTTGGTGGATAAAATCAACACCCAAAGTCCATTGATATTGATGAAATCTTATCAAATTCAAGATCCAAAACAATCAACACTTAATCAAAATATTTTTAAATAATTTTTTTAAGAGCTTTTTCAAAAATGAAATTAAAAAACAAATTTAATAATAAAAGAAAAATGTGGAAAAGTCCACACGGTTAAGTTTTGAAAGAAATAAAAAGGAAAATAAAAAAAATAAAAGAAAAAAACAATTGAAAAGTAGAAAGAGATACGAAACAGAGTCATCTTCTTCTTCTAGCTCTCACACGCGAAAACATTCACGGCCATGGATGCTTGCTTAAATCACAACGGCGGGACGCGAAAAATACGCGGTTGCAATCGAAATCAAGAGCTCTTCACAATGGTACCAACAATTCAAAGAATCACAACAAAAGGTAACGGATCGAAAATGACGGTGAAGCTCAATCTACCTTCAAACTCAGGTAAGAAATCAATCCAAACTTCTTCTTGCTTCTCTTCTTCTTCTGAACGAATCTCTGGTTGAATTGATCTGTGTTTGAGGTTGATTGAAGTTAATTTGATGGAAGAAAGTATGAGAAGAGAATCTGAGCAAAAGGTTTTGTATTGAGGAATTGAGGAAGAAAATCAACAGAGATTTTTTGGCTTGAAAAGCTTGAGAAAATGAGTGAGAGATGAATTGTATTTATAGATGAGAATGGGTGAAAATGATTTGCCGTTTGTGAGATTTTTTTTCTGCGTTTTGGGATGCAAGTTATGTGTGACCTGTTGTGATATTTTTTCATGTCGTTTTGGACTTTTTCTTCTTTTAGCTCACTTAAGTGACGTGGAAAGCTTGTGGGGTCAGCTACATGGCTGAGATTATATTTACATGGCTTGCAATATGGCTTGGATAAGTGATGAATTGTTTCCTCAGCTCAACCTCAATTTCGAGCCATTTTCGCTCTGTTTCAGTGTAACAAAACCCAATGCAAATCCTGCAGAAACAGCATGGCCCTCCCTTGCTGCTAACATGAGTGGAGTGTAGTCTTCTCCGTCTAGAACATTGACATCAAAACCTTTGTTGGTCAACAATGTAACCGCATCCAAATCCCCACGACGAGCTGCACAGTGTAGAGCATAGAAGCCACCAGTATTTTTATTACCGTTTTCAAGTGCGAATTCAAGCATGACCTTCAAATAAATCACAGTTTATTATTCAATTCAGATAGCATTATTGATGTTTCACCAGATTTATTGCACAGCTTTACATCGGCTCCGGCATATACAAGAAATCGAAATGATTCAACATGACCTTTCACGGCTGTATGCATAACAGCTGAGAAGCCACTATCATCTTGATAGTCAAGATCAAACTCTCCAGATTTAATGACAGTTTTCAATGCTTCAGTATCTCCTGCCTTAGATACAAAAATCAAAGGAGAAAAGGTGGAAGTATTGCTGGATTTGGGTATCTTGCCGTTTTTAGTTACACTCAACACTGCTTGTTGAAAACCATGTGACCAGTTGTATAACTCAGCAAGTGAACTTGCCGATTGACATGCGATATTCACCAAGCCAAAATCAGCACCAGCCCTTGTTAGGACTTTAAGACACTCCTCTTGTTTATATTTTGCACAAATCATCAGAGCTGTCTCACCAGAATCTGTTAAAGAATTCAAGTCACAACCAAAATCAATAAGGCATTGAACTATAGCTGGTAAGCCTAGACGGCATGCCATGTGTATAGGAAGGTACTCGGCCTTGCTGGTTGTTTTGACTAGGGATTCCACATTAGCACCACATTCTAAGAGTATCCTAACAGCTTCGACATTGCCACAGAGGATAGCATGGTGTAGAACAGTTCTTCCATGGTGATAACTATTTGAGGAAACATATTGCAGGAGCAAGTTTAATATAGCACCACTATTTTCAAAATACTCAACTGCACACCAGGTGATACCGTATGGTTCTCCCAGTCCAGCACCCACGCGGAGTTCTTCACCAGTTGAAACTTCCCATGACCATGCTCCAAGCCTCACTTCAAACTTTGTCGTAGCACCATTCTGAAGGAGCAAACTGACAACATGGACCTGCCTATGAACTACAGTTGCAACTAGCGCATTACAATCCACGTTTGTGTGGAGAGAAGGCTTAAATGACTGTAAAAGCACCCGGTCTGTCGCACCTCAGACTCACCAATGTCTGATACACCAGCATAGCTTTCCATCTCAACTATGTTTGTCTCTTCAATCTCCAATCCTGGACCAGTATCAATATGCAAGACAGCAGCCTTGAGGGAGTAATTTAACGGCCGAACTAAAATACCAACCCATTGATGTTCATTTATTAACAAAGCAGATGAAACAACAGCATCATGATCCACAAGTGCTCTAGGTTTGGAAACCTTCAAAATAGGTTTAGCTGGCTTTTCATAACTCATAACATCATCACTCTCTGCAGGACCAAGTTTTGAAACACCATGAGATCTAAACCTCAACTGCCCAATCTGCTCAGTAAGAACTATGAAGGTTTCTAGACATTTTATCTGATCTAAAACTCTGGTATACCACTCGACCGTGACGAATATTCAGACACCAACTTTAGAAACATGGATGACTTATCCTCCAATAGTTGTAAAGGAGTGTCAAATTCAGCAACTCGACCATCACTGAGCACTAGAATTTGATCGTTGTCGATGACAGTAGGGATACGATGTGCAATGGTGAGGACGGTGCAGGCTTTGAACTCTGTTCGGATAATCTTCTGGATAAGATTGTCAGTGGCAGTGTCGACGGATGCTGTTGCTTCATCAAGTACAAGTATTTTGACTGCTTCAATAGAGCTCGGCCAAGAGAAACAAGTTGTCGTTGTCCTACACTCCAATTGTCTCCATTTTCTATAACTGGTGAATCAAGCTTTTGTCCCTTCTCACGGATGATCTCTCCAAGTTGAGACTTATCTAGTGCCTCCCAAATGTCTTTATCTGAGTGCTCCTCAAGAGGATCAAGATTGCCTCGAATGGTCCCTTCAAACAAGGTCGGATCCTGCGGTATGACACTGAGATGACTTCGGCTTTGCACGCCTTCGACAGGAAGATCGACAAGCATTTGTTTGTGTTTTTCCGCGAAGTAACTTCACTTTTTCATGAATGCAAAGTTGTTCCCGTGATGCGGCTGTCATTCGTAACTGGGTTCTATCTGCTGGGTGTTTCAACTCTCACCAAACAGAACATTGCCCTTGGTTGCATATTTGCAAGTTCTAACCTCACATCTGAGCTTACCAGGAACAACACCTGAAGCTAACTGTGATTCTACTAAGCTTAATGGAGCTTATACAATAACATTAAAAAAATGAGTATTTGCATTCTGTATAACTAATTCACATGCTGCTAAGAGCAGAGGAAGAACAGGCAAATATTTGTACTCCCACCCGATTTCTCATTAGTCAAGACTGCAATGGAAAAGACTTGCACCATGTTGGTAAATAATATGCTAAATCTTCTCAATATGAGCTCACTCCTGTACACAAAACCTTCCATGAGCTCAAAATATAATCAGATAATGGCTGCCAAACCGACAACATCCCCATCATTAACATTATTGGACTCGGGAGCATTGGTTGGGCTGCGTTGTCTCATTGAAACATTTGTAATGATGTTTACACTTTTCTGTGCTGCGAGTGCTTTTAATTTGTTACCAGTTGCCATCAGAAGCAAGCTTTTCATGTGCTGCTTTTGCTCCTTTGGACTCGACGTTTTTGTTAAAGATTCCTCAAAGGCATGTAAATCACGAGGAGTAATAAAGGGGAGAGACTGCAAAACCTGCCTGGGGGCTGGGTGTCTATCACAGAGATAAACAAACATCTCTCGGCAAATGGCAATCAGATCAGAACTGACTATCGCATTTGATTCTAGGGATAGACTTTGAATAACAGATGTAAAAAGATCTCTAGAAACAAATTCAATGAGTTCAGTATGGTTTGTTACAATTGAAAGAACTACCGTCGCAGAGCAAAAAGAAGAAATCTTTGTCACAGCTTCACCATCCGTCCATGTAAAAACTTCTAAACACATTCTTAATATCGGAAGGGCAAGAGCTTCATGCTTTAGAAGGAAACCAACCAAAGAGCATGATGCAACTGCATCCAAGCTTTTCACAGAAGACATGTCGAAACGAATAATATGCCCAGACTGTTCCAAAGAAGGGATTCCAGTATTTAGGGGAGGAGAAGCAATCAAGGAGAGGAGTGAACACATTTCAGGGGTGAGATCCCTCAAAAGTGTTTCCTCCATCACTTCTACTTTCAGGTCTGATCCACTAAGAATGCCATGAATATCAGGAACCTTTGCTCTACCATCTTGCAGAAGACTAGACCAGGAATGGCTAAGAGCTTGCTGAGCATGAACAAATAATGGATGCAGAAGTTTTTCCAGCCAAATCTCCCTCATATCCACAGGACAGTGTTTAACCAAAGGAATCAAAATGGAATGAACAAGCTGCCTCAAATGTCTGAACTCCATTGACTGTATATTCTCCATCAAGGCAACAACAACGGAGTGTACATCCAAATTTTTGAAAAACGAATCTCCAATGGTTGTTGACAAGCCCAATACATTATATCCACTGTCTCTGATGCCTTTAAACCAATTTCGTATATCTGATTCATTTGGTTCACCGTATACATCCTTAGGGTTCTTTTGCAATTTAGGGTTCTCTTCTCCAAGAAGACTGAACCTCTCAACATCACTCATGACCATAGCAGATTTGATCTCTCCAGGTAAAGCTTGACTTATAGATGGAGACCAAAGAGAATGTAAGCCCCGAAGTAGTTTCAAGAGAGGATTTAGCATCCATGATACATGAAAGGCCATTGGATTCAAAGGGGTTGAGTCTGACGTTGAGCTGTTTTCTAAATTCCCTTGAGCTTTCTTCATTCCACTCCTCTTAAACGCCCTCTCAAAGAATGTAACTGTGTGAAAAATTGACCACATTACTGGTGCTTCTGAGCACAACTGAACCAAACCATGTGGACTAGATAAATATCTATCCTGCCACTCCAGTTGTGTCCACTTCTGGCTCAAAGGTTCTAGTAGCCACTTTAAAACTTCTTGCTGCTGTTGAATCCCAGCAGAAGAAGCCATAACAAGAAAAGCTTCGCCTATAAGATTGTGCTCTCCTTGAAGCAACCGACCTTCCCTTTGCAAACAAGCAATGGTATCAGCAATGCCCTTCATATGAGGCAAGATGCTTTTGTCAGCAGCTTTTGCTATCCGAATAAATGATGTACAGATCTGCAACCTTGCATGCCGAGCACTTGATGTTGACGTATCCTTAATTTCAAAAGGAAGGGATGTTAGAAGTTCAAATAGTTTATTGATAACACTGCCAGCTGCATCTGGGAAATACTTCAAAAAGAGGCCCATAGCATCCAAATAGTGAACGAGTACTTCCACAAGTGCGGGCTCCGTCCATTTCAAGGAAATAAATTGTTGGTTTCCACTTGTGAGTTGCTGAAGTATACAGGTTTTTTTTATAAAAAAAAAACAGGAGCAGGCTTCTGTTACTGCATCGCGGCGTTTAGCTGGATAACTAGCATCGATCGGGATTTCCAATACAGAGTTACTACTCGATGTTTGTCTTAAAATACCAGGAAGATTAGCATGCTATCTTCTTTGTATTTATCTGAGAATATTGTAAGCAACAATTCGAGATCCTGTCGGTGAGAACATAAATTGCTCCAGACTTCATTATAGCAGCTTTATTTCTTTCATCATGACAAGCAACACCATATGCAGTGGAAGTTCTAGTGTTGGATTCACGGCCGTTGGCCTCTTTTGTGTAGACTCTAAAGAAATGGATGCTGGTTCCAGTGTCCTTAGTGAGTCTGTCAACAACTGTGAATTTCTCTGAATCATCAAAAAGTCTAACATTATATGTACCAGCACAACATCAGTTTTGATTGACATTTGAAAATTGGATTTTGAATTGTGGCAATCATCTTGTCTTGTTAAACTCTTGACAACCTTCAATCATCCTTTAAAATCACTTGGAAATGGCACACTTGAATGAGCACTTTGGACTTGTATCCTAAAACAAACATCTTGTTTGAACATCCACCAAACCTGACTTGTACAGACAAAATTCTGAATCTTTGATTAAAACTGGGCCAAACTTCTCATAGAACACTGCTTGAAAGCTTGATGAATTGTGATACAGGACAACTTGACCTTGAACAAACACATTGCCTGAGAAAATAGCCCACTGCCACAACCAATTTACACTGAAAGAAATCTCTTGATAGTTTGACCATGATGAGGTCAAACGTCCATCTGATTTAAACTTGAATGAATGTCTTTGCCATCAATCTCCCTGCAAAACCCTAAACACACAGAGAAGAAGAAACAAAAAATATTTTTGGTATTTTGATTAGATGTTAGTAAACAGAAACAAACAAAAAGAAAGTAAGAAACCCATAAGGGTGCGAAAGCTAAAAATATGACCTTGTTTGTGGAATGATATGCCAATGAAATGTGGGATCTTAGGGGTAAAAATTTGGGTATTACAGCCACCAAAACAATTCTTTCAAAGTACTCTTATCCAATCCACACTATTCAGACACATAAACTCTATCACAACATCTCATGTCACCATTTCCATAAATCCGAAAATCATCCCTTCGACTTCAATCCATTAAACTCAATCAATATATTAACTCCAATTAGAATTCCAACCTTCTCGAATCTCATTCGAGAATAGCAATAATCAGTCTCATCATACAAAGATCAACTCCATACGAAGTCCCTATTATTTCCTCTGCATCATATGCAATTTTCTCAAACTAAATAAATACCTTAAGCTCTTAAGATCATTAACCCTCTCAAATCTCAACTAAACAATTGAGGCTCCCAAACTCCGGTACAAACACACAACAGCAACCAACTCTAAGTCACTTGTCAGATAATTCCTCTTGTACTTTTAATTGTCTTAAAGCATAATTAAAACATTGATGGTGTTGCATTTAACGTATCTCCCAATCATATCACCAAAGCATCATAAAACACAATAAATAGTCCTGTCGGATTCGACAAAACCAACACACAAGCTATTGACAACTTTTCCAAAATTCTTTGAACTTTCTTCATAGTGACATAACACTACTTCCTTTGTAACACTGATAACTCAAATTCCCGACGTGCAACATGATCCTCTATATTATCCTAATACATCAAAACACCATTGGTTACACAACCCTTGACTCACTCACTCAAGTGTGGAAAATCCCATTCCAAACGGACACGCAGTTGTGGACCTATGGCGAAAACACGAATTACACTTACCAAACATCCAAACATATTTCATCAATAATTACTTAATTCCATGTCACTACCTTCTCGTCACATAGAGCACTGTAATGACTTCCAACGCTCTTAACCTTGCGTCATTCCGAATTACGGTTCTCTCATTACTACAAAATCATAGAAACAACATTTTGCACTTAGAAGGCCATTCAATACATCTTCAACTTCTTGAAATGGTTGAAGGTTTAACCATACCAATCTTGTATCCCACATCTTACTTCCTTTAGTAATCACCAGAAGTCATCATCCACTCTTTATATACTTAACCTCGGAGTTTATTGTCGTAGCACCCACACCAAACGCGAGTCTCAACTACTCAATTAATTTAAATCCTTGACCATCCAAACACACATATAACACGGGGTTCTCAATCTCGGACCAGTTCCCGAAATTAAGTCTTTCACAACCCCACTTCACATCCTGGCTCTGTATCAATTATCCTGTCAGGATAACTTCCAGATAACCATAACTAATCGGAAACTGCTAACCTCCCACTTTCATTAGCACTCAAAATCTCATCAAAATTCAACATCTCAACACTGCCCTGCGTCAACTTCTCAGAACAATCCTTAAGCACTTGGCTTCACTCCAAACAATTCACTGCACACACCATCTAAGCTCGCAAGACACGTCTATCCCATCCAACACAATCCCAACTACTATCAACAAGAGATTAAGGGTGACCAGTTCCCCAATTTGTCAATAGACAGTCGAAAATCATGATGGAGTATAAACCATCTTTACCAAACTATAATAGCGCTTAACAACACACCGAGCTACAACTCCACACTTGCAGCATCCTGGAGAATCACAAGCTTTTCTCCCACTTCGATCATTCCTACTTCTGCAGACAAGGTTAACAACGAACATGTATCGACAGTGTTTTTCACACACATGTCGCATACAAGGGAACAACCAAAAAACACAACTTGGCCGGACGGACTGACCTGCTCTGATACCACTAATGTAACACCCCTTTAATTCCCGCAATTAATTAAAATAATCAGAGTAAAATTAACATGCATTCAACCAAGGGTGTCACACTTAAAACTTTCAAAACACCTGTCATGCTCATCAACACTTCAATAAATAATCATGTTTTACAATTTCAATTAGCATGTAGCAGCGAATTCATTTATTCAATGATTTTTTCATAAAAGAAATATTTGTTTTCATCACATAAATCAACAAGGCTCGAGCGCTAAGGCCAACTTCTTATTATTTCAATAAACAAGAAAACATAGTATATTTCTAAAACATAAACCAAGCGATCCAGTGTTACACGACCAGAGCATGACTCGACCCAACATAAATAAATCGCTAAATAGCTACACCAATAGCGGCCTCAAGACTACAAGCAGCTCTACTCTGAAATACCTGCACGATGTCATGTAGGACATCATTCCAGCAAAAGGGTGAGAAATATTACCATAATAATCAATGCATATAATTATGTATATAAACAATCATAAAATACATATATGCCACATTTCTCACCACATTTCATATTCAATTCACACATACTTCTCAATTATCTCATCATATAAACTAGCATGGTGATCGTCAAGCATATTATCATGCACATAGCATACTTTCATACAACACTCACATACTCACTACTCTTAAATCAACATATCATGTATATATGCACACTTCTCCTAACATTCACATATTCATCATTTTCAATTACACAAGTCATGTAGACATACATAAGCATAACTTTAATCAATAATTCTATCCATGCCATATGGCTCACATAAAGCCCATCAATTCCACCAATTCCCGCTCGGGATTTTTTGGTACATCACTCATACCCCACCAGGAACAACACATAGTCATTCTACCCCGATGATCACTCCACTGGGTACGGCGTCTGGTCATTCTACCCCAATGTATGCGACTATATCGTTATACCTTACCAGGAACAACGCCACAGTTGTTCTACCCCGGTGATTGCTCCACTAGGAACGACATCATGTCATTCTACCCCAGTGTTCACGAGCCTTATACGCATTCATTATTTTCAACATCATCATCATAATTTACTAAGAAATGCACATATGTTCGTAATATATTTTCATGCATTCTTCGCTTACAATTGCATACATACAACATGCATTACAACATTTATCAAGCAACGCACACAATATGTTTATTTCAACACCGACTCACGACTCTATGCAATTCAATATGGTACGACTCGATCGTTCAGCAGATTCTCCTAGGAATCATATCACCATTCTCCTACACGGGCACACCATCACTCAACAGATTCTCCTAGGAACCATATCGCTATCTCCCTACACGGGCACACAATCACTCAACAGATTCTCCTAGGAACCATATCGCTATCTCCCTACACGGGCACACCATCACGCAACAGATTCTCTTAGGAACCATATCACGCAGCAGATCCTCCAAGGAATCAAGTCATTCGGCAGATTCTCCGAGGAATCAAGTCATTCAGCAGATTCTCCAAGGAATCAAGTCATTCGGCAGATTCTTCGAGGAATCAATTTATTCAGCAGATTCTCCAAGGAATCAACATTGCTAGAATGTACATCATGATGCCTTTTATGCAAAATGACTCACAACGTTTCTCTTCATGCATACATATTCGCAAATATATCTCTATGCATATTCATCTCATGCAAGTACACATAATCTATGTACATTTATACTAATCCATCATGCATTTCCATTCAATTCAGACAAATGCATAAAATTGCCAAATGGCCATGTTTCACACTCCACGACTCACAACCTAGAATTCACGCCACACGGCTACCCACAGCATGTCATATCACAACAACACACAAACTATCCATTCAAATAAGGATTAGACATAACCGAACAAAGAAATCCGCGTGGGAAGG